TTTCGGAGGGAAGCATCATTGCAGTCTCTGATATTGCCCGTACAGGCCCTACAGTCAGACTGGTTGGACTGGTACCCGCCTAGACCTAGCCTACACCTACTGGGCCTCTAAAAATGCCAAACTTAGTCTTCTTCTGCACGGCCTCGGGTACCCGGCACATCTACCTCTACCTGGTGTGGCACTGGCCTACCTGCTACTTGAGTGTTTTCCGCTGCTTAAAGTGTCCCGGGCCTCTTTCCCTGCCACTTGAGTGTTTTCCGCGCCGCAACCCTCGTTGTCACGGCCACAGGTAAGTACTGGCCCTTCCAGTCCACTGAACGAACAAGTGCCCTTGCGGTTCACACACACACTCAAGCCGACAAGCACTCAGACAGGCATGCAGACCAGCAAGCGTGCACACACACAGACTTAGAGAAGTCGGTAACAAGCGGAAAACTCAGCAAGGCATGCATTCCATGAGCAAAACTCAGAAATCAGCTGTGTGTCTCAGTCTGTGTTTGGCAGGTCATTACAAAAAAAAAAAAAAAAACGGAAAATCCGCTTGCCCACTGATCGGTTTAATGGAGAAAGAGAAAATTCAGATGAACTGCTCATGCAAAGCAGGCAGCCAAACAGCATCCGCACAAAATACACGCTGTAAAGTCTTTAAATAAAGTGCAATGCGAGGATTTGACCCCTCGGCCGTGTTGGGAAAGGCCTTGCCCGCCCTGCGGGCCTGCCAATATGTGCCAAGGCCTGGGTACAAGCCAGTGTGATCACCCTAAAGGGGTTGTATATGTGCGGGGAATGAGCCCTTGCGGGGCCCTTAACAGACATGCACATGTTCTGGGCAGAGGCCCTCAGCAAGCCCTGTGGCCGCCCTAAGTGAAGGCGGACCTGAATATTCACAAGAGGCCAAGATTTGACATTTTTCCATATGTGGGTATCAGACAGTTGCAGCATGCCAGTTGGTTACAGAGCAACGTGAGCCTCTCCAGGCTCTTTCCTGAAGTTGCAGCCTCGACTGGCAGTTGAGCCCAGGGCCCCGTACAGTTAAGGCCGTGGGCGTGTGCTTTCAGAGGCCGATACATCATACAACAGCCACGGACCAATGAGATTGCAGCATTGTCGGCACAAAGTGGCCATGAGCCAATGAGATCACAGCGAACATGTGGAGGCCCGTGGACTGCCTGGACACTCCCAACTGTAAAGGGCCCAGGCCCGTAACTGCAACTGGGTCCGGACGCAGACACTGAGGCTCGACTGGAAGCTACTGGATGCTTGCCCAGTCAGGCCCAGAGGCAGCAGAGGCTGAGCTCACTCTCCATATAGGAAAGTGAGCATCGCTGGGGAGGTCATTCTGGCGTAGGCAGGCAATGCGGCCACGCTGCTGCGTTGCAACTTCGTGATCTGCACGAAGCTGCCGGCTGGGTCGCGCGCACGGGCGCTGAGGTGTGAGGTGCAGTGCTGGGCAGTGGGCGCACGGTAGCCATAGCCGGGGTTGCAGGGCGCAGGTCTGGATGGCGATGGTGGTCTTTGGGTGTTGAGAATGCACACTGTCGGAAGTCAGGGGTGATGAGGAGAGACGAGATACATACCTGGTGCATGAGGGAGGTCAGCTATGGTGTTGACGTCATGTACATTGGTCTTTAAGGTCGAAGTGAGCCTGTTGCGTGAACACTGGTGTAGTAGGATAGGCGAGTAGTGTAGGCTGGGCGCTGGGCGCCAGGCAGAGTAGGAGCGACATTGGATACGGTGTTGGTGTGGCCTGAGGGCTTGGACATTGGCTCGTGAGTCCATTGTATTGCTTTTATCTGGATGGAATCTCGGTGCATTTGCACTCTCTGCTCGTACATGACTATTTGGCATCTGTGTGATTTCGCAACTTGGTTTTCTGTATATCGCTCTTGCTCATATTCCTTGCAGCAATGAGACTCGCTTTATTCTTCACTTCACATACATGCAAACAGATGGCGATTCACACTGGAGCCAAGCGCCCACTCGAAGCTCAGAGATATGGAAAACGAGAACACAGTTCAGATGCAAACTCCCTTTAACAAGCTATGGTGCATCAGCGCCTGTACATCCCAACTCTCGACACTGTGTCCAACACCACTGTTCGCCCACGCTCAGCTCTGGATCACCCTGAATACCCCACATGCATTCACTGTATCACACACTCGTACACTCACACTAACTCCTAACACTAGCTATGGCGGCTATGGCCGCCGGCTACTATTGCCTATGGACACTCTGCCTTTCTTCAGCCCACTTCGACTTCGGGCAACCTGCAGACCACCTCGCACAAGACGCTGGAGCAGCGCTTCCGCATGGCTTACGCAGCGAATGAATGAATGGCTGGACGCTGCCTCTTGATTTATACTTCTGTAAGTCGTTGGTCTGCCCTTTTCCACCGGCCCCGTGGTGCACACAGTCCCTCATGGTACTTGCTGACTGCAGAAAGTAAGACTGGGACTGGGTACCACTGACTAAGCGAAGTTGGACTCACCACTTGCCCACTTGCCTCTGGTCTGCTGTGTAAATCGTGAGAGAAACTGGAAAGGCCACTTCCGGACCTTCCGGAAGTTTGCAGACTTGGCCTTTCAAGACTGTAGCAGTTACGACCTTGACCTTTCAGGACTGTAGCAGCTACGACCTTGACCTTTCAGAACTACAACAACTACGACCCCTATGCAGGTGACCCCTACTTCGACAGGTCTAAGGTTCAAGACCTTACAACTACTCAGACCTACGACAGACAACTTCGACTACTAACTCCAAGGGTCAACTTGATACTGTACACAGGTAAGGTAAAGTAAGGTGAGGTCTGTGGATCGAACCCTGGGATCTGCATCTGTGTCTGCAAAAAGGTGAAAACCGTTTCAAAAGGGAAGCAGGAGCGATTTTGAAAGAAAAAAAAACGGAAGCGCGAGCGATTTCGAGAAGAAAAACAAAAGCGAGCGAAGCGGGCTCGTGCACGCACGCAGCCACAAGAGAGAGAGAGAGAGAGAGAGAGAGAGAGAGAGAGAGAGAGAGAGAGAGAGAGAGAGAGAG